GTCATAGCGAACTGCATATTCGGCGCCACCACTGATGCCTACACCGACCCCAACGACCCAATGGTAGTGAACGGTCGGGCGATGTTCCGTCCCGTGTACTGGCGATGGTTGGCCACAATGCTGTTCCCCACGTGGCTATTGGATTGGCTGAACATTCACTCCGAGACCAACGATAAGTCGATCGACTATTTCTGTCAATTCACGCGACAATTGATGCGTTTGAAGGAAAAGGAAGGAACGGAACACAACCGGGAATTCAATGATTTTATTAATCTTCTCACAAAACATAATAACATGAAAAGAGAATTCGATGGAAGTATTGGTAATGAAGGTAAGGGATTAGAAGAGTAAATGTGCCTGGCACATTAATGTCACCTAGCAACATGTAGGGTGGGAACAGAGAATCTCAGGGAAAGATCATTTTACAGGGAAATATAATAGAAAGTCTAGTTCCCAGTCCCTCTTTATAAATAACTGAAAATTTAAATATTATACTAAATATAATTGAAGGCAAACAACAGACAGAAGTGGATGAAAGCGATGGTGAGCTGAACCCACTCGACGCCGACACACAGGCGGACGGCAAGAAACGGACGACTAAACAGTCGACTCACCGGCCGATGACAGACGAGGAGGTGATCGCACAGGTATTCTCATCGCTGACGGGCGGCTTCGAGGCCGGAAACAACGCTCTCGCGTTCGCAACACTCGAGTTAGCCCTCCATCCGGACATTCAGGAGCGGGTGTACGACGAGGTCGTGTCCGTCACCGGGGAGTCCGGCGACGGCCGCATAGACTACGAAACGTTGGCTCGAATGCCATACTTAGACGCTGTGGTCAGCGAGACTCAGCGCCTTCACTCGGCTGCTCTGCGCCCGACCCGCGTGGCCGCTATGGACCACACATTGGGCGACACTGGCATACATGTACGTAAGGGACAGACTATTGAACTAATGGCGTACGCTATGCACCGGTCGGACGAGTACTGGCCCGGCGCCGACCATTTCGATCCTAAGCGTTTTATGCCAGAAAACAAGGCTAATATTAATCCGTATGCGTACATACCGTTCGGCGCCGGCCCCCGGGCCTGCATTGGCCAACGCTTCTCACTGATGATGATTAAGTTAGGTGTGGCCCGAATGATCCGGGCGTTCAAGTTTAGGCCGTGTGAGCGAACACGAGTGCCCACACCTCTGATCAAGAATATGCGTTTCAAAGCGGCTCAAGACGTATATCTGTCCGTCGAGTCACGTGCTTAACGAATAATAATAAACAGCAAATTATTGTCATGTGTTTAATTATTAATTAGAATTTAGTTATTTATAAAATTAATTCCTAATTATGACGGTAATTTTTTTAGTTTGCTTTTAGTTTGCTTAGTTTACTTAGGTTTAAGAATAACATCTATATAAATTGATTCTGTGTGTTAAATAAAATAGTTTTAAAAAAACCTATTTAATTTGATAACTATTATTGAATATAGCATTAAAAATGAGCTAATTATTATTAAAATAATATTGAGCCTAATTATGATAATCAATTTAATTAATAAGTACATTAAGTACATTAATTAATAAATGTAATTGGATTATTCTAATATAATAAATATTATTTTTAATATTACAAACTTACACCATAATACTGATTATTGTATACAAGTTTAAATCTAAATAATTAACAAAATATATTATTTAAGCACAATTAATTTGTGATTTGCAAATTTAAATCAATATTAGTTTTATAATTTAATAATTAATTTAACACTACAATTGTCTCGTGACAAAGAAATGAATGGTACAGATATAATAACCAATAAACATACAGTTTTATTGATAAATTACATTTATTTAATCAAATATAGTCAAAAATCAATCATGTGTTTTCTAAATTGAAAACAATATATTTTTAATAAAAAATACCAAAAAAAATTATAATTAAAATTACCTAAAATTATATTTAGTATTAATTGTCAAGTATTATAATTAAAGTTTATAGCACTCAACATGTATGCCGTGATAATAAGTGGGAACTGCGGGTCCGTTTGGGTCCCATTTGTGGGCCAACTGGTCGTAGGCGTGAGGGTTAAGAGCAGTCGCGTCCGGACGTAACGCTATGTCAAACATTATGTTTCGCATGAATGCAAACAATGGCGAAGTTTTGTCCGCTATTTGGAAAGCGGGACCAAAATTCAAGGGACCGCTTGTGTCGGCTATAATTATAAGTTTAATATACTGTATATAATCTATATATAAGTTTCAAAATTAGTTGTTAGTAGAAGAGGGAAGAAGAAGAAGAAGAAGAAGAAGAGAGAGAGAGAGAGAGAGAGAGAGAGAGAGAGACCAATAATTAATTCAATTTTATTATTTCAAACAAAAAAATAAATCTCAACTAATGTTGAATACTGTAATAAAACCCACATTTGATGGCGTATTTGTTGACACGGCTTGTGTGCAAAATGACACAATTCTTGGTTACATTTAAGCCATTGTGCGAACACGCCGTCTGTATTTCATCCAATTGTTGTGATTCACTCTTTGTCTGCAACTATAATGTGTTGTTTATTAAAACACTTTTAAATAAAGTATTTAATTACTTACTTGTATATTGTATTGTTTGCTCTGTTCGTCGGTCAACAATGACATGACATCCGGTGTGCGAACATAATTGGCCACAAATTCTCCGTTTTTGGCCAACAGTTTGCTCACGACATGCATTAGTCGGCTCTTATCGGGAAACCAATGAATGACAAAATCCGATACAATTAGCGATACCTTAGACTCCAATGCTTTCAATACAGGACTCAATGAATCCCAGGATTGGCTCAAGTCTTGGACCAAATACTGGACGGAATCCATGGGTTTGTGGTTTTGTTCGGCAAATGCTATCATATTTGGACAGATGTCGAGTCCAACGATGCGCTTGTGTTTCACTGATTGCGACAACAGGTCTACCAAATACCCGGTCCCACACCCGAGGTCTACAATTATGTCGTATTCCCTGTAAAACAGTAATAAAATAACTTTTAAATCATTTATTTTAATAAACAAGAAACGTAAAATTATTGTTTTTTGAATAATCATTACAATATGCAAAAATAGTTATACCAGGTTATTTTACTTGCGTGTACTCTATTTAAGTTATCGCCAGTAAACTATTTAATTCAACATGATCAAGAGTCAGATTATTGTTATTTAATGTTTATTTATAAAAAATAGATTAAATTCTTGCTTTTACAACTAATTATTATTTAGTTATATATTTAATATTTTAATTAAATATTTTATATTTACTTATTTTTGGAAACAATACTCTGGACAAACGCTCTAGCACATTCTTTAGGATACAGAGTAACCTCCTCGTATTCAGCTGGAGTATATTGCATTTTAACAGTCTTAAGTAAATTAATTTTATTGTTATATTTTTACAAAGTAACGTTAATTAATTTATTGTATTACCTCTTTTTATACAAAATGTTTTGCCTTGTTATCATTCATAAGTTATTGATAATGATTAAATTAATGAATATTCCGATAATTATAGTCTTGTTAATAAATTCTTATTGCTTTTTCATGACTTTATTGTTTTTGTATTAATTTATACAATGTACCGAATGTACAGTAATATGTTTATTAATTTTATTTAAAAATACAATATTCATCAATGAAATGATGTTATAAAAAACTTTATATAAAAAGTTAAATAACATTGACAAAAAACAATTATTAGCAAATAAGAACAAGTACACTTAGTAATAAGAAATGACAATGCTTAATTATTGAATTTATTAAAATATTGAAATGGTATAAACCAGAATATTAACAAATTAATAAAATATGACGCCAATAATACTGTTTACTAATAGTTTAATGTATTTCTAAAATTTTTAATTATTTTTAAAATAATTTTTAACAACTCATTAACATTCTTGAGTATTAAAGATATCCTACGTTTACAATAAAATTTAATTTATTAATTATTAATAATGTTGATAATGTTAATTTTACATGTATAGTTTCTTTAATGACAAAATGTCTATTATGAGTTTAAGAAATATACGCACAGGTAGTACAAATATACTTATAATAAATAACAAGTATGACAAGTTATAACAAGTATGACAATATCACATTTATTACTTTTTTATATTTCACTTTGAATTGCTTCTAATCAATCATATTAATTGATTTACTTATGTATTTGTTTTTAATTTAAAATTTATTAATTATTGCAATACATTGAATAAATATTTTTGTAAGCAATTATTGATTTTATTTATATAATTATATTACAAATAAATTTATTATAGTTAAATAGTAATTAAATTATTAACAGATGATTAATGTACAATTATAATTAAATATACCTTAGCTTAACTTTCAAGTTAGTATTTTGAAAAAATTCATTGAATTATTATTAATCCATAAGATAACATAGTAAAACTATTTCTAAATATTAATGCTTAAAGACTTATACAGTAGATGTGGTGATAGAGTAATAGAAATCACATATACTGTGACTTTTTAATGAAGGCCTCTTTGGCCGTGTGGTGCAAATGCTGGGCCATATCGGGTCCAGTCATTTGGCACATGTCGTAAAACATGCCCATTCGCTCCAACAGTATGTGCGGATCGTCGAACTCGCATAGTCTGCCTTGGTCCAATACCTTGGTCATAATTCAATTTTTGCATAATAATTAAATATTAAAAATATACTACGAAAATTTAACTAATGTTACCAATAATAATTTTAGTTATAAATTTAGTAATACAAAAGCACTACAATTAAATACTAGATAATTAGGTACTGACCATAACTCGATCGCAATCGATGATAGTGTTAAGCCTATGGGCTATAGTAAGTACAGTGCAATCGTGAAAACTAGTCCTTATAATACGTTGGATGAGTGCATCGGTTTGGTGGTCAACATTAGCGGTCGCCTCGTCGAGCACTAGTACCCTATTGTGACGGAGTATAGCCCGGGCTAAGCACACCAATTGGCGCTGACCGGCGCTAAACTCAAGGCCACCGCCGCTAAGACTGGCGTCCAGACCACCGGTTATGGCGCTGACCACGTCCTGGAGCTGCACCGACTCCAACGCTGACCAGATGTCCGTATCTGAATGCTCGCTAAAAGGATCTAGATTACTTCGAATCGTACCCGAAAACACTACCGGTTCCTGCGGTATGATTGCCAGCGCCCGACGCAAGTCATGCAAACCGATGCGTTTGGTGTCCACACCATCGATGACTATACGACCCGTGGGCTCAACCATACGGAACAGCGCCGATATGACGGACGACTTGCCCGCACCCGTGCGGCCAACGATACCGATCTTCTCGCCGCCCCTTATCTCACACGTGATGTCTTTGAGCACCGGTTTGTCGGGTGCGCTGTCGTAGATGAGCGACATGTGGTCTAAGACTATACCCCCGGTCTGTGGCCACTGAGGGTCGGGTGTGTTGT